ACTGCACGTAAAAAAAATCTCATTACAGAGAATGGGACTGAAAGTAGGAAGAAAATCCTCGAATTCGATATGGTTTATTAAAACTCAATCTAAATTTATTTATGTAATAGTGGAGTTTATACTTTACGTTGTGAAAAATTTAACTTTCGATTCAGTGATGCTATGGAAAAAGATTTTGAATATTTAATTAAAGAAAAATCGTCAAGGAACAGAGCTTTGGAGATCAGAGATACATAAAACTAACCCTAACCTTAATCTAATTACATCTGTTCCATCTTCAGCTAATATCTCTAGATAATGAACTAACATCTTCAGTTCTCTCACGAAGTATACTTATAGGCCTAAATGTACTTATAGGCCTAAATTTTCACAATATCTACTATATTATAGACGAAAGACGGTTGGACACGGACGTTGTGGGCAGCTTCGTTACAGTTTTATTATTTTGTTGTAAAGCTCAAAGCAACACAATATGCAATCTGTACTCTGTGCACCACAAGTATAGAAACCCGGTTTTTCGCGTTATAAGCCCCCAGACTTGCCGCTGAGCCACCAGGGTTAATCTCGAGGGTGAACAATATATCTCCATTACAGTTTTTGTGGCATCTAATGGGCTACTTTCTCATCCCCGAAAATTGGTAAAATCGAAAATCCTTATCTACTTCTACATTATAATTTAACGCCCAAGTTTCAGAGTAACTCATAAATAATATTATTATCTCGGAGTTCTTTAAAATTAAGTTGGTAAGCTTTATCAGACACTACTTGTTTACACGTTACGGAGTAGTTTCAGAAACTTTGTTAAGGTCAACTTGTCACACGTGTGGGAAAAAGATTTATTGCTAAATAAAAAAGCTATGTAGTGCTGGCTACTGAACTTGAAAAAAAAAGGAACCAAACAAGATTAGTGTGGAAGTGGACATATCAGCTAATGATCACATAGCAGACTAAGCTGTCTCGACTTTACATGGAGAATATAATCCCCACATTACTGGTTTGCCCACTTTATCTATCGAAAGCTTGGTGTTTCAATAGAATCTCAGCTTTCATTATTATACCTTTTTTTAGTTAACTTTATAATACTACTTTTATGGCTATTTTACAATAGAGCAACATTTTACGATTGGAAATTATGGTTCTATTTGTTTTGCCAGTGAGGAAGCCAGTAATGTGGGGATT